GACTTTGGCACCTTAATCTGACATTCCCTTAAAGCTGCAGGCAACATATTCTCCTGTCCTGATGTTCTGCATTGCTGCTCCTCGCAGCCGTGGCTGCACTTCAGGAGCTGGGACAGCACTCTGGTATCCTTCAGAATAAAAGGATTGTTATTCCAGAAGCTGGAAAAATGTCAGCAGAAAGGATGAAATACTGCCCCATGCCCTTGCCATACTGAACAGGGAATCTTTTCTTTCACTGTTGGTTTAGGACTTAATCCTGCAAGGTCTTGTCTGTCAGCAAATACAATCAGGTTTAAGAGCATGAATAACTACCCTAGGAAATCACTGGAAACTATTTTGTTAGTGTAAAATTAAGCAAGTGCAAAAGTTCTCCAATAGACTTGGAGCAGAGTACTCAGCACCCTGCAGAAATGAGCCTTTAGTTCTTAGAACCATTTATTGTGTCCAGAACAGCCATTCATTAGGGCTTTGTGCAGAGAGGTTGAATTTCACTCACTTGGAAGATACTCTTTCTAACCCCCCTGAGACACACAGACTTTTTGGTTGATTTGAAAAACAAAATGATTAATGGCATTTTACAAGTTTTTCCACTAAACAGATTTCAGTTGAAGTCTGTCACAAGCTAAAGAATTTGCAGGAATATTGTCAATCTGATGACATAGTGGCAATAAATCCTATTGTACTGGATTACATTTTTACCCATTAAAATGCTTTGACCTATTGTCATCCAAGTAGAACCACATTCCACTGGCTGTTCAAAAGGTTCTGATTTCACTCGCGATTGTTACCAGGGCAACTGCACCTCCATCCAAAACTCTGCTGCACCAATCAGTTGACTTGATTCAAACAGACTAATGTAGATAAAGTAAAGTACTAATTATTTATTCCCATTGACAAAGTCTAAATCAAATCTTTCTGAGACCTGAAACGCATAGAAGTTGTTTGAGGGTTTCTTGTTTTTCTTGCAGGAGGCACCAATTGCTTCCTTTCTTTCAGGAATAGAAACCTGTGCTGACAAAATGCCATGAGAAGATTAATATTCTTAGTCCATCCAAAGCAAGAGTGCACTAGAAATCTCACCACAGGCCACTCCTGGAAAGAGTTCTCCCTCAGTTGTGGAAAACTACAAGGATTTTCATTAACAGTCAAACAGCTGGTTAAGGCTTATGAGTGGAAATAGAAATAGTTGGATTTTCCCATTGAGATTTCTGGTGGAAAGTGGGCTGCATTTTATGGCAACAACTTTTATATGTATTAAGTGAATATCATCACAGTTGTTCAGATTTGTTTGAATTTGAGCTATCTTTGAGTGGGAGAATGCCAGTTAGGAATGTGCATGTTCTCCCATAGCTGCTATGGATCAGCATTTCTTGGAGAGCACAATGGGCCATGAAGGCCACATCAGGGATCTGGTCAGTAGAGTCAGCTCAAGGCTGGTCACGGCCAAGAAACACGAAGGAAATGCCTTAATGCTGATGTACACAAAATCAGGTGCCAATTTAAAACCAGTTTGAGAGAGAGAATCTGGAGAGCCATTGTCTTCAAAGTTGCCTCAGGAATGGATGCGCCTTTCATTCTCAGACATGGAAAACTTCCAGCTAGTTTTAGTCTTTTATTCAGATGAGTCTTCATTTCACATCACCAGGTGAATCCCTGTCTTGCTTTCCCTTCAGAGTGCAGGAAAACTTGCCTGAAAAATGGGTTGTGCACTGAAACTGCCTCTATTCAGTTTGTTTCCCAGACTTTTGGTCAATTCTTAGATCTGTTCAGGCTATTATTGACCTCTACCATGTTGACAGCAAAGAGAAACCAAAAATTCAATGCTTCCTCAGCTGAAACTTTCCACAGGAAATTAAGGGCTGAAACACTCTCCACTTTTCCAATTCTCCAACCCAGCTTGTCACCACAAATAATATTTGAGTAGTTGAAGCATATTCTCTCCTGTCCACACTCTCAAAACACAAATTGAACTGCTTTAAGAAGAGGAACTAGTGCTACTATCGTGACTGAAAACTACCAGAAGTGCTTAGTTGCTTGTGAAAAGAAGCACAGCGGCTTCTTGGAACACAGCACCGCTTCCTGCCAGCCAGGAGGGACAGCTAGTCTGCTCATACAATAAAAGACAAAGAATCAAATCAAAGTTCTTCTCCTAATTTAGAAAAAAAACAGAACTCTGAGGTGGTGCTTGTTTGGCTTGCTTGCATTCAGCATATGGCATTGTCATTGCACAATGGGTTACTGGAAACCTATTCTGTTCTGTTACCAAACATTCTCACCAAAAGCTGATGGTCAGATTATTGGGCAAGAAGGGAACTAATATAGGAAAGTAGGGCAAGGCAGCAGCTAATCTAGAGGATCCTAGTCACTTTGAGAACGCTGAGTGAGGTGAATTAGCAGCGTCCTGTTGAAAGCCAGAAACTTTCTTAGTATGAAGTGTTCTCCAACCAACCTTTGCTAGATCTATTCAGAACCTCTTCCAGCAGAAGGGTTTCTCACTTTTCAACCTTTCTGTCTGGTAACACTTCCTTTGCAGGAGTTTGTTTTGTTAGAAACAGTTTCCTGAACATCAGTCCCTGTCCTTTTTGCCTCAAGAATGACAGATACAGAAACCTTGGTAAGAACCGGACTTGTATTTCTGCTATTTCGTCCCTTCTGTTGCAGTGCTGGGCTGTTACAGCTACACTAATGAAGCCCATCTAAAATATGGATTACCTGGACTTTACCTGAATTTAGTGAGTTTGCAGCTGGTTAACTCTGATCGATCCACTGACATTTGCTAGGCAGTGCTAAACCATTTATCAACACGTACTACAATCCTGTGTTTGACAGTACATACATCAATTGTCTGATCTCCAGGGAGCTTGGCTGACTTAGAGGTACCAATCTTGTTACATCTGTACATTCATACCGTTTCAAAAGCAGTAATGAAGCAAGTGCATCAGAATGCTTGTGCTTATTTCAAAAATGCCCATCAGCATTGCAGAATGTGTCACATAGATGTCCCAAGCCTTCTTCGCATTGCTTTAAATCATGTAAACAAAAGGAAACAGAAGAGAAGAGGAAGAAGAGAAGATGGAGAGCTGTTAGGCCAGTTGGCAAAGTCTTTGCAGCTCATGAAAGCTAAAGAGTTTTCCTCCTTTCATTCAGTGACTAATTTCTGTTACTGTAACTAGCAGTAAGAATGTTTATACCCACTGAAACTGAAGTATTCACTTCCTCTTCTCCATCTCCTAGGGTCACTTGTGAAAGCACTTCCCTCACCATTTTGGCTCAGGAGGAAAGCTTATAATATTACTACAAAATGCACTGTCTATAAAAGAATTTTTCTTGTATACTAAAAGCTATAAGCTATAGTCTCACTGTGTATCACCATCCCCACGGGGAATGAGTGAGGTGTAATAAGAAACCTCGCTCCAAGTTCCCAGGAGACCACACTACCAGGAGAAAGGCAAGTGATGTAATGCAAGGACACTACAAATGCTTTTATAGGAAGGGTCATATGGACAGACCACCTCACAGACCACCCCTCTCCCATCTGAATCACATCTGTCTTCTTCACAACATTGTCGTGGCCACCGCCAGGGGAGGAGAGCTTCAATCTGAAACTATGGCACAGGCATAAGTATTTGAGGAAGTCTGTCCTTGCCTTTGGCAGGGGGTTAGAACCAGACAATGTTTAAGATCTCTTCCAACCCAAACCAGTCTGTGATTCTAAGTTGACCAACAAGGAAGATGCAGAAGCCATTACTATGTAACCAAACCCCTGGCAAGGGCATTGCAACCCACAACATGACAACTGTATTGCCATCTTCCAACCTGCTCTGTCTGTTGGGTTAGTATTACTAGAAGGTTGTTTTCAGCAGGCAGAAGTAAAAACCCTCAATATACAGCAGGGAAAGGAAATGTTATCCACCACTTTGCCTTCTATATGACCTTCCCCGAGCTTCAACTTACCTACAAAGGTATTACAGAGTTTTAAGTACAGTTTAAAATGTCTGTTCAGGATTTAGAAATACAGAAAGAGGGGCAACTCTAAGGTGTATGAACTTAATTCTTCCTTTCTTACCTTTGCTGGTGGATTTTCATGGCATACTAGGGGTCAGAATCTACCCACAGACTCCTTACACATAAATGCTTCTGCACAAGTACACATTCTCACAGGTCCCCATGAACAGACACTCAGCTCTAACAAAATTAAGTCCATTCTTGTATTTCAGGCCTTTGTTACTAGGCTCACTCTGCCACAATTGTTCCAACAAAGTGGTTGCCCAGACCAGACTCATAATGCAAGCTCTGGGGCAGAGTGGCTCTTCTGACTCACACTCATTTCAGCCAACATTTCTCACAGTCTGTAACCTTCAATTTCCTCTGGCATGAGCTGAAAGTGCCTCTGCTGATCTGCCCTCCTGACTCAAGAATTCATGCGGGCAGTTTTGCTGCACCTTAGCTTTGTTCCTCCTCTGGTAATGACAAGTTGAATAAACCCCACCAAAAATGGACAGACGGGAATGAAGGGAAGGAGGAACTGCCAAACTGGATCAGATCTGCAGTCTGTCTGTCTCTTATCCTGTCTCCACCAGTGGCTAATACCAAATGCTCCAGGAGAAGGTGTCAGAGCTTTGCAATAGGCAGCTCTGCAAGAATTCCCCTCCTCTAACAAGTTCTTATCCTGATCTTCAGTAATTAGAGGCTGGCTTCAGCTCTGAAAATACACAGCTTAATATCCTCCCCAAACATGTATTCCTAGCAGCTCTGCTTCTTTTTAATATTCAGATGAGCACCAAATCTCCTTCTGAATTTCAGAGAGAAAATCTGTGTTTCCAAACAAGTAACAAGCTGCCAGTTTACAGGCAAAACACACTTCCAGTTGAACAAGATAAAGAGTTTATTCCCATACAGGTTGTTCAGTTAGTGTAAGACTCTCTAAGGTAACAGAACTTCTGTTTACATGTACACACTCAGAGGCAAGCACAGATAAGGAAATGAGAAATGGGCTTTACCTTAATGTCTGCTGAGATCTGAAAGAATCTCTGCTTCACTCCCTCCTTTCCTTTTCTCTGTCTCTCTGCCTCTCTCCTGCATGGCTGGACTGACAGGTTGGCAGAGCTGAGAACGACAGGTTGGGTTTGTTTTTTTAGGCACAACTCCTCCCCCTCTCAAAGAGAGAAAAAAATGTAAGACTGTTTGAGAAAAGTTCACAGAAAATCCCATCCTTTCAGCGCATTAGAACTGAAGAGAAATATGCTGCGTTTGGGAGCCCAGCAGTTTTACCAGTGCTGCTCAAAAGGGCTCAAGGTCTACTTTGCAGTAAGTAGGAAGCAAGAGGAGGATTCACACCAGGAACTAATTGGACCCCCAACCTTTCCCATTTCTCTGACAACTGATCTAACAGTTAGCTAAAGCGCCTTTAAGGCAGCCTTGACAAGAGGCTTTTGTAAAAGTAGAAAGGGCTTTTCGCACACAGCATAAATAGCTTTGGGCCTTGGGTCTCATCCTTGCGTCCCACAGCCTCTATGTATAATAAAAGTCACCAGCAGATGTTCGAAGTCCTCATTTTCCCCCCAGAACCCTCTGCTGCTGCTAACCTGCCTGCATTCACAGCAGAGAGCAGTGTGTTTTAAACTCTTGTTCTACTCCATCCTCTGACTTGGTTGCATAGAGACCAGCTCGCCTGCTGTCTCTGCCACTGAAATGTGATAGTAATCCCAGAGAGCTGGGAGGGATCTTTACCTGGCCACGCTGGCCACAAAAATGAGGTCAATGTAAAAGGAGGTGTATGCAGTACAGAGCAATCCCATCAATTGTGTGCCTCCACCGGCCTTCCCAGGTTTTTCTGCCTCACAGAGACAAAACACATTCCTGGAAACTCCTGCTACTACAAGGTTTTTAACTCAGTCCATTAGAGTATCACACACAAGGTGCAGACATCTTACCCTGAGCCTATCAATAAGATCTTCAGATGAGGGCTGGGCTGTGTCCCACGAACTCTGCCTGCTCCTATTCCTGCACACCACTGCTGCTTGTGCCCGTGCCCATCTGGCCACGACACTTTGCTTCTGGGATGGAGGGGCAGAAATACTTGCCAATAGATGCCAAGAAAGAGGAGTAGAGAGGTTGGTGGCTGGTGATGGAATAGCTTCTATGCTCCCACTTGCCTGCAATCTATCAAAAGAATTGAGAAGCAAGTCTCTTTTGTGCTCTAATACTTTTTCCTAAGATGGCATGTGGGAACAAATCTGCAGTTTCTATGGCCTGTAACTGTCTCTCCCTTACCCCGCTGTTTCAAGCATACAGACTAATGACATTCATCTGCATAAATTTGCATCACAGACTCCTTAAGTAGAATCCATATCTCCTCTGGGTCAGATTCACAGCTGGTTTGTTACAATAAAGTCAAAAAGACTCCTTTACCTGTGTCCCTATGGCTGCATTGCAGTGCTCAGGATGCTGATCAGCACCAGCTCCACAAGGCTGTAAGCGTTCCCAAACTTTTGGAATAAACCAGCCAGTTTAATTTAACATTATGGTGAACTAGATTAGAGGTGAATTCAACGGGTATAACACAAAGTCTGTATCATATCATATACAATCATGTCCAGTTCACTTCTTGCAATCTCAGCTTCTTCTCTCACACCAGGGGAGGGCCATGTCCGTCTATCCCAGGGCTGACTTTCTTTCCTCCCCAGTCTCCCACAGAATGTATTTTCTTTCTGTCTCTTTTATCAGGCAACTGTTCTCAATCGTGTTCAGCTCCTACTTAAGATTTCCAGAGAGATAACACAAATGCTCAGAAATCTTTCCTGCCAGTGGAACAAGTTAACTAAATCCAGACAAAACTGGCCAAGGCCAGCACCGAGGTTCAGTGCTAATGAATCATGGCTGCATGCACCAGTGCCTGCTGAGTGCCTCTATGAAGTGAGAAACTGTTCTTAAGGTTACAGCATGGTAATGGTCTTTATGTTTCTGCCCTGATTTCTAATACAGATGGGATGGGGATAAGACTGTATTAGCATTAAGTACGTGCCAGTCCTGGCATTACAGTATCAAAGGTAGATTTACTAGCAGAGATATCCCGCTGTAGCTTGCTTTGGCACTGATGTATAACAGACTTCTCAGTGTGCACCCCCCCCCCCAGCACTGTGAGGCTGAAGATCCAGATCCTTCTGAAGAATTGCAACTTGCAGAATCCTTACGGAGGCAGGATAGATCCAAAGAGGTTTATCGTCTCTTCTGACCCCTGTTTCCAGCCCCAGCCCCAAAGAGGTAGGAACTGAAAACATGCCCAGCACAACACCCTTACTTCACCTCTGGCATATTGACCCCATTGGGGCTGGTCATCCCATGGGCTCTTGGAAGGGGAGGGAAGCTAAGCAGCAGCACTGCAGCAAGGGGGAAGGTACCAACCTCCAGCTATAGCTTCCCGCTCAACCCCAAGCCAACCCTGTGACGCCAGCCTGGAGTATGACATGCCTTTGTGTGGCTGTGTCTACCCCAGCAGGTAAGGTCCACACAAGCCCATAGTTCTTAGCAAACAGAGTTGTTGTTAAGAGCTTAAAATCAGTCAATAAATGCACTTCAGTTAAGCACTGCAGTGAGGTCAGGTTTCTTGTTTTTCCTGTTTCACTAGCAAGTTTCAAGACAGACTAATAATGAACCCTCAGAGCACAGCTTATTACAGCATCAGAAAGGTTGCAAAATTGCAGACAACTTGGGTTTATTACCCTCGACTACTTACACTCCCTTTGAAAAAAAGAAGGAAAGAACACTTTTTCTAATGTAACACTTAATCCAAAACGTCTTGATGCCAATGAGAAGATCCCCATGGTTTTCCATCAACTAAAGATCAATGTGACTAATATAAATCTGGGATTTTCATATATTGCTACCGGTTGTAGACTTGTGTGTCCCATTGATTTGCAATTGGATTCTCTAAGCCTTGCTCCCCATTCCTGCTTTTAGAACATCTGGATGCACACAGACAGCCCTTTGTCTTTGCAAGCTTCTTGGGCAGGCATAAGCTGAGCAGACACCAATCGCCCTGCAGCCACCTCTGTATTGCAAAGGGAGTAAAAACCCCACAAATTTAATTCTCAGCTTTTAGCCTTTGGGATTGTGGATCATTCAAGCAACCCTGCAGTGGTCACTGATCCACATCCATCGCCTCAAACCCAGCAACAACATAATCCAGGCTGCCTTTTTGAACTGGCTGAGCCCCTTGCTCTAAATTTCCACCCATTCAAGGCTCAAACTCTCTTTTTACTACCTATAAACTGCAGGTGCTTAAAGTTTGATAGGGAGGTGAGAAGCCTCCTGCAGAGGGGAGCAGCAAATGGGATAGGGTGTATTATCTCCAGTGCCTACAGACTGGTGGTCCCCTGAAAACCAGCAAAGAAGTTCCTGTTATCAGAGGGCACAGATGTGAGTGTCACAGATCCTCTGGCACACCTGAGAGGTCATTGGGAGCTACAGAAGAGCTCCAGCCCTTTTACAAGGGCTGCACAGGGAGAATATTCCAGTCTGGGGACTGAATAATTCACCAAGAAATCAGCTGGCCAGTGTGGAAATAATTTTAAATGAACTGAGCCCTTAGGTATTACATTAACTGGATCTCCAGGGAAGGATGTGGATTATTGGAGCTGAATAGAGCCCTTATTTATCAGATGGAAAAGGTTAATGTCATTTCCTTTCCTCCATGGTTTTTCTTACCACATCACCATTTATGGATAGCATAAGGTGCAGACAGTGTAAGAACATGTGCTTGATTGTTTAAATGACCAGAGCTGTTACTTTGGGGGTGGGGGGGGGAGGGAGGTAAGAAATTAAGATTTCTCCTGGTTTCCTGGGGGGAATTACAGGGCTAGGAAACATAAAACACTGAAGAAAGGAAATGGGCTTGTGGAGCACCTGGTCTTTGATTTGACATCCAAGAGTATCTAACTGAATGAGGGAATTTTTGCATTCTCATCTACTGTGTGTGCATAATAAGAACCAGGATCAAACTAATCTAATATCCTTATTTCATACTTTATAGGGTGCATTAAGAAAGGTCATTTTTTTTTACTCCTTAATGAAGTTTAAATACAGTTAAATTAAGTTCTACTAATAAAAGGTCTATGTTTTTTTTCCAATTTGTTTCTGGAGTCTTAATAGCTGTTGACCTGAAGATAAATATCAGAGCGGTTCAGCTATCTATTATGTGCTTAACTAATGATGTCAACAGACAATTCCAATAGGAGCTAAGGAGACAATTTCCATGGCAATAAGAGTGAGAGCAGTGAAAGCTTAGAGTAAGAAAAGAAAATTTTTTGTGCTAGAAGACTCAAGAGACCTCAGTTTGTTTCCCTGTCTCTAGCACAGTTATGTCCTCAGGCAAGCCACCTGGGGATATCCTCCCAGTGTGGTAACAAAGATGGACTTAAACCACTCTGCCTGTTGTCAGAGAAGGATGATCACTTCTGACCATTTGGCAATTCAAGGATGTCAGGATCCAGCTCCCCATATGAGTCAATGAAGAAAGATGAGTATGGCATCTGTGCTGGACTTCTGAGTACAGCTCTTCCTCCTCCCAATGTCTATTGGTAATAGATAGGTAATGTGCATAGGTAATAGATAGTTTGAGTTCATCACCACCCTCTTGTTTCCAGAGCCAGCAGCAGAATTTAACTCCATGCTAGGCCCCATAAGAAGACATCTGAATACAGCTTTTGGTCTCTGACTACACAGAACTACAAGAAGTGGAATTGCCTCCTAGCTTCAAGGTCCAGCTGCTTCCCCCGCCCCCCCCAACCCAACTCTGTATTAGAGCACAACTCAGGCATTAACCTTTCCATGGAAAGAAATCCAGGCTGAAGAGATGATGAGGGTCAGGACCTCTGTGTATACACTGGATGATCCTGGGACCTTTCTGGCCCCAGCTTTCCATCTGGTTGAAGGTCATAGTACTGTGAGTCAGGAGCATTACCTTACCTTGCAAAGGTGTTTTGAGGACAAAGAATTAATATCTGGGGGCAGTGCAGCGGGGATAGCTAATTCCAGCTCTGAATGAAATGAGGAGAAAGGTGCCCATTGACTTATATGGGATTTAGAATGAGCTCTTATTCATTTTACATTAGGCACCGAACAGCCATTTGAGGATAGCAGTGAATAACTATTA